TCCATAGGGTAGGTGCAACCTCCAGTGTCCTTCCATGGGCCTATTTTGTTGTGTTGGTTCCATTTGAGAGGTCCCACGGAGTCCTGCCAACAGATGGGATGAGTGAGGCTCAAAGGGGGGTCATATTCCCAGGGCGGTGACAGAGGTGCTTTGCGATGGGATAGCACGTGGGAGTCGACAGGGGCCCGGCTTGACACAGATGCGGCAGTGAGGTCCAGGTAGGAGGTCTCCGAGTGGTCCACTATCCTGCGGGAGGTCACTGCTTAAGAGGGCGGGCTTGTCGGGAGCAGTGTCGGCACAGCCTGATGCTTGAGGCAGACCTTGACCGTGTAAGGGGCATTGGTGCATTCGAGTGCGCTCACACGGTGGGCATGGATTGGCCGTAGTATGCCGAGCACTTAAATCTCCGTGGGGGCTTGCTACCCGGAACACGCCGGCAAATGAAGCAGCCCGGGCTGTGGCAGTGCGGGGGGTCCGGCTGCTGTTGAAGGAAGACATGCGGCCAACCCTGCAAGTCATGAAATAGGTGGGACTGGCCAATGTGTCTCACAACACCAGGAGTTCCAGGCTGGTGGCCTCCTGCCAGTGGCGCATGCATACCTGTGACAGTGCCCATCAGGAAGTTGGATGGCTTGGTGAGTGGCGGTGGCTGAGGGCGGCTGTGTGTCCTGCCTGCCGCAGGGGCATCTGCGAAAAGGCCGGCCGAAAGCTGTTGCCCTGCTTCCAATTCGTCTGTTGTAGCCTGAGTGCACAGCAGACAGCACAGGACAGAGAGCATGCTGATCATGACAGGCTACACAAGTGCAGAAGCTCGACAGGTAATTTGTCTGGCTGTGGAGGGATCCGGCGTTTGCCGCAGTGTCCTGGTCTTCCGAGGCCGGTCGGTCAGGAGCCACATGTCTTGAGTGCCAATAGTCCAGTCGACGGTGGCCCATCACAAGGGAGCATATGCGTCGGCAGCTGGCGAACGGTGTCAACTGCATGGAGCAGGTGGGACTGGATCCTTCGCCACATGGACCTGGGATATACCAGTCTGTAGGCGTTGGCGAGCCACCAGTAATCCTGCACCGTGAGCGGCGTTCCCTGCTCCCAGCGGTGCCAGAGCTTATGGCAGTCCTGATAGATAGCTCGCCAGTGTGCAGACCATGGCCGCTTTAGCATCAGCGCCACGGAGCATGCCTTCCAGCGGCGTCTCGCGCCCGTGGTGGGGACGCGCGCCGCTGCCACGTAGAACCACCGAGGCCAGCTGAGCTTGGCAGCTCTGCTGCCAGAAGATGCCGGCGGTGGCGGGGTGCAAGGAGCCGGAACCAAGGGCGGTGTCTCCAGGCGTTCTTCGAACCATATGGAGTTCCCAGGTCCCATTGCATGTCCAAGGCCCAGGTTCGGCTCTTTGCCTGAAGAGAGGATATCGCGGTCCTCATTGGCCTGTCTCAGCTTGGCAGTGTGCTTCGGCTGCGCGAGGAGTCGAGGCATCTTCTTCGGCTTTGGCCGTAGGCGAGGCGAGCTCTGTCCAGGTGGCTCGGGAGCGGGCGCCGTCTCTGCGAGTGCTTCATCATGGTCTCGGCGGTTGGCCGAGCCAGTGGACCGTGGCCTCTTCCTTGTCGATGCCGGTCTTGCCAGTGTTCGGGTACTGCGTGGTCGCCTCTGGGAGTACAAGGTCAGTGGTGGCGCCGCACCAGATCGAAGACTCGCACCCGCATCCGTCGTCGGGTCTTGGAGCTCTCGGGCCTCTCGGGCTTCTCGTGCAGCTCGGCGTTCCCGCTGACCCGGTTTGTACCTCCACCGACATTGGCGGGCATCCCAGCCCATGGGGATCGATCCTAGCCTATAATTGGAGAAATCAATCCGCGTCGCCTGGAAGGCCCGTGACTGTGGTTGATTCCTCTGCACAAAGTGTCGTTGAGGCATATGGGACATAAGGGACTATGGTTGACAAGGGTGTGGTCCCTATATGCGAACATCTTTGGGCCTGGTGAGATACCGGCACACTGACGCCAGGAAGCAAGGCTCTGTGCATGAGTAGCTGGCACATGCCAGGCTTGCCAAGGGCCTGACCACATATTGGGCGTCGGCACCAAGGCGACAGGACCTGAGAGCAGGCGGGCACTAGCATTTGGCTCCTTAGATATAGGGGAGTACTTGGGCTGACTGGAGTCGGCGGCAGGCATCGTGGCATGTGCATCCGTGGCCTGCCAGACAGGCCACCAGAAGGTTCACATGATGTGACTGCCAAGGCTGCTGGCTGAGGCTGTGGCGACCGCGAGCCGGCCAGCCTGCACGTCGGGTGGAGGGCGTACACTGGATAGTGCGGGCTGGAAGGAAGGCCTGGTCCTTACTCGTGGAGAGTTCCCGGCCACAGGCCTGGGGTACAGGCTTTACCCGACTTGACGTATGCAGAGCTGTCGGAGTTTCTGCCGAGAGCCGGCCGACCTCCCAGGAGGAGGCAGCCGAACGATCCGCCATGCGACCTGTCCAAGAGGCTTTATCAAGAGGTCAGGGTGACGGCAGGTCCAGGCAGGCACTAGTCGCATGTTTTCAGCACCGCTCTGTTGGCCGTCGGCTTCACACACGGTCTGCGCGTACCACGATCTCAACCTGAAACCCCAAATTATGGGGAACAGTGACGGTGAGGCATCCTGGGGTCGCCATCGCTTGCGGCATGTGGTCTGTTGCCCTGCCGGACTCAAGAGTGACACCGTCAGAGCGTCTGGACACGTGGATATTCGGCACCGTGGCATCTCGCAGCGAAGGGGATCTCGTAGATGGAGAGGTCGTGGGGAAAGTCCCGAATGCCGCTGCCGGAGTGATCGGTCCCAGATGTGTTCCAGAGCCCACTGGTCGATTGACTGGAGTCGGAGGAGGGCGG